GGCCGCTGGGAGAGGCGGGGCGGGGCCGGCGGCGCGGCGAGGGCCGAGCGATGTTTTCCCGGAGTGAGCGGCAGCGGCAGCGCCCCGCCGGGGTTAGCACCGGGATGGGGATGTACCGGGTCCGCCCCCCACCCCCCCCAGTCCCGTTCGTTCCCTCTACCCCCCGCACAAACCAGCCACACGACAGGGGAGGATTCAGCTCTTTTATGGCCTCAGGCTCCCGCCGGAGACGGGGAGCGGTTTGCAGTACAGCAGAGGGGGAAGACGGGGACCGGAGCACAGGTTCCGGGGGGGGGGACAGCAACCCTCCGGGGGGGTCCTCGGCCGGAGGGGGACGACAGAGGAGGGTAGTCCTCCGAAAAGGATTGGGGAGTTCAGGAATCTGCTCCGGGTTGGGTCTGGATGTTGGGCTCAGCTTTGGGTCAGGTCTGGATATCAGGTTCGGTTTTGGGTCAGGTCTGGACATTGGGCTCGGCTTTGTGCTGGATTTGAGACACAGGGACCTCCTTTGTGCTGGATCTCGGATGTTGGGATCCGCTTTGGGTCAGGTCTGGACAGGAAGATCTGCTTTGGGTTGGATTTAGGACGTGAAGACCTGCTTCATGTTGGATCTCAACTGTTGGGCTATGTTTTGGGTCAGGTCTGGACATTGGGACCCGCTTCGTCTTAGATTTGGGGCACCGGGATCTGCTCCACATCAAATTCAGGACACTGGGATCTGCTTCGTGTTGGATTTGGGGTTCTGCATCCTGGCGTGTGTCAGACCCGGGTGGGGACAGGGGCCATCCCCCGGGTCGAGCAGCCCCGAACACCACAGGGCAGCGCCCAGAGGCTCGGTGGCAGTCTGTCTGTCCATCACAACTCAGCATGGTACCGCTCTGCTTTGAAGACCTCGCTGGGCTGCATGAAGATGCCCTCCATCACCTTCCAGTAGTTATTCTGGCTGGAGGCAGCCATGCCATGCACCTCCTTCTGCCCATGGATGGGTCGCCCGTACTGCTCCCCCGTCACCGAAAGGAAGACGTCGGTGGAGGCGTGTTGGAAGCGCACCTCACCGTCCCGCGCCCAGTAGGTCCCGCTGCACACCACTGTCCAGTCGTCCAGGTAGTCGCCCTCACCGGCCTCCCCGAACGCGCTCACCTCCTGCAGGTGAAAAAGAGCTTGTTTGGGGGCTGGGAGGAAAGGGGGGGGGACTACTCAGGGGTGCTCAGCTGGGCCCAGAGGGCAAGGAGGGGGGGGGACGGGGAAGGGGCTGGGGGGTAAGGAGGCACCTGGTTGGGACTGGGGCTCTGCTGGGCCTTGGGGGTCTGGTTGGGACTTGAGTGCTGAGGGGGACAAGGGGAAGCCGGTAGGGATGGGGAAGCAAGGTGGGACTGGTAGGGATCCAGTTGGGACCAGGGAACAAGGCAGGGCTGGTAGGGACATAGGGGACAAGAAGGACCCAGTCTGAAATGGGGAACAAGGTGGGACTGGTAGGGACATGGGGGTCCCGGTCGGGACCAGGGAACAAGTCAGTGCCGGTAGGGACAAGGCGGACCCGGTTGGGACCGGTAGGGACTCAGGGGACCCGGTTGGGACCGGGAAAAGGGGCTGGGCCCCGGGGACAAGACGGGGTGGGAGGGATCCCGGTCTGGCCGGTGTCCTGGGGGGTCCCGGCGGGTACCTGGTTTCCGGAGAGTGGGGAGGCGAAGCGGTGGCTGTGGAGGTTGCGGCCGGTGCCCAGGTGGGTGAGGCGGATGGCTTGCCCGCAGCGCACCGGCGTGCCCCGTTCGCAGACGGCCGCCGTACGGCCCCGGACCCGCCAGTAGCTGTTCCCGTCATCCGCCGCCGACACCCCGGTCACCGACTGCTGCCCGCTGCCTGAGGACGGGGGGGGGGGGGGGAAACCGCGTTCAGGCCCGGCCCGGTCCGGCAGACGCGAGGCCGGGGGGGGCGGAGAAAGGGGGGGGGGACGGGACACGACGTGTTCCATTACCGGAGCCGTAGCGAACGTCGTGCGAGTGCAGACGGACATTGTGCCGCACGTTGAGTAGCTTCACCACAGAGCCGCAGGTAACGGGGCCGGGACCACCGCGCACCGCCGCGCCCAAGGCCAGCACCAGCACCGGCACCAGAACCGGCGGTACCCGCCGGCCCGCCACCTCCGTCCCCATCCCGCCGCCGGCGGAAGCGGAAGTAGCGCCGCTCCGCCCGCCCGGAGGTCGCCGCTCGTCTGCTCCGCCCCCCCTCGCTCGCCGCCGCCGCCGCGGAGGCCTCCATTTTCCCTCGGCGCTTCGGGTAAGGCCGCACCGGGTGGGACGGGGGGACCGCGACGGGCCGGGTGGGGGCGAGCGGCGGCGGGGGGTGGTGCCGGTGCCGGTAAGGCACGCGTCGCCCTGGTATTGGGCCGGGGGGGGTGGAAAGCCCGTTGCCACGGGAACGGCGGGGCCGCGACGGGCCCGGGGCGGTTACGAGGCCTCCCGGGCTGGGCGTCTCCGGCGGGCCCGGGTCTCGGTGAGGGCGGCAGGGACGTTCCGGTGCTTGGCGTGAGGCTGGGCCGCGGGGCCCGGGTGGGTGGGTGGTGAAGGCAGTGGTGGCCCCCTCCGTTCCCGGTTGCCGGCGGCGGGTGGGGCTGGCGGTAGCAGGAGCCTCCCGGGACGAGGACCCCGTTTAGGGGGCCGTGCCGCAGCGGGGTGAGCCGGGCTGGGACGGGCAGCACCCGGGGCTGGGGTGGGGGGGGGGGGAGGCGGTTGGGAGGGGG